CCCCCCCCCCCCCCCCCCCCCCCCCCCAATGTTAGATGGTTCGATAACGACGGTCTTGGGGCATTGAGTCAGACTGCGCTGTTGAAAATTAAGAAAATAGGTAATATAGATAGGTTTAAAATATGACAGCCATCAGGAATATGCAAATCTCATGGAGTTTCTCATATTAAAATGCTTGATGTTAAATTACAAGTCACTTTCGTAGAACACCAGTGAAGAGATTGTAGCGCATTGCTACGCTAGTAAAGTCTGACTAACTCAGAAATCTCTATGGCAGTTTCTCCAACATCTAGCTAGACTCCCAGAACCAACTAAGCTATAGCCCAGCTGTAAAGGAAACAGACGTGTAGCACGGAGCACGTTTATTCAGGACATATATTGCGGATCAAGTGAGTACACGCAGGGAGCTACTCATGATCAGGATGGCGGATTAGGTTAAACAGAAGTTGATGATTGGTCACTGTTTGCACGGTCACTGCAACAGAGTTGTACGGCCGCACCTCCCAATCCTGGCGAGCAGACATGCAGGCATAAGATGACGCACACAGCGATAACGTGTCCCACAAGGTAGATATTGATGACTTGAAATGGCAGAGTCCGTGCTAATAATCGAAGTGCAAGTCCATGGCAATGGTTTTTTTGTGTATTTTGGTAATTTAATAAACTTTTCATTTACTAGCATTTAAGAGAAATTAAAGGCTATTATTAGTGTGTGATCATAATGAAAATTCGCATACACCCACCCCACCCCATCTGGTCTTATGTCGAATGCATCAATAATTGAGTCAAAAGCGAATGGCCAACATTTAGGCCAAGATAATCGTGCTTATTTTTTTACAAAATTCTTTAATGCATACGAAAACTTTCCTCTCTTTTCATTTGTAGTAATTGAAATCATCATATAATTTAAATATTTATTGTTTAAAAGCCTATTCTCAAGAAATTATGAAATATAAAACTAGAGAGAGAGAGAGAGTTGTCGAAATCTAAAAAAATGGATAGATAAATTGAGAAAGTAAACTTGTAATGCTGAAGTTTCGGTAGCCATTTTCACTAGGGACTAAAAGCAAATATTTGAGTGCATAGGAACAAAATTTGTAGACTATAATCACCGTGTGCAGAATTATTATGTATTTGAGAGTTCCCTTCACGGGGTGTGCGATAGACTTACCTCCACATGGTGCACCCTGAGCAACGTATAAGCACACGGCAAAAAAGTCTATTAACCGGCAGTTGACCTCTGACTTCAAACTACCGTGACCCCACTGTATGCCATATTCGACTACTTCCCAGTACTCATCTCACCTTTTCTCTACCTTTGTGTCTGTCTCTTTTACATTTTTGAAGCACTCTTCTGTTCCTGCCCCCCCCCCATCTCGACTTTTTGTCACTTTGATGTTCCTCCTCGTCTCTGTGAAGCCTGAAGTCAACTAAAGGGCAAATGATAACCATTCTGTGAAGCCTGAAGTCAGCTAAACGGCTTATGATAACTATAGCCTGAAGTCAACTAAAGGGCTAATGATAACTACCAAAACGCCTACCATTTGATATAAATAAATAAATACAGTCAAATTCAGAGGAAGATTTGTTTCGCTACTAAGATGGGCAAAAAATATTTTGCCTCCTAGAGTCTGAACAGTTATAAACTTAAGTAAGTGTGATTCGCATTTTCCTCGTGATGATCAAAATTCAATCGCTATCTCATTTCTTAGTAGTCTCAACTGCCTTATTTGGGAAGGAAGTGCTCGTGTTTAGATCCCCTTTTAATTCAGCTAAAGGAATTAAGGCAAAATGTCAATAAATATTAATTAATGAATATTTATATTTCAATTTTTCATTATAAGTCCTTATTATGATGTTTTTAGTAAAGATGAAAACAAGCTGACTCAATACTAGCTTATTTTTGCATAAATTTATGAAAGTTATGGCAATACCATATTAATTATGTAAAAGCACAATTTATCATCTTTAATTAATATTATTAGATATAATCGATTATTTAAATTGAGGTATCTCTGCCAAATAGCTCTCTTTCAATCGCAACTAGGAAAGGCTTCAAATTCCCCTTTATACAGAAGGATATTTACTCATAAATTGAGAAAGTGTGAATGATAATATAGGTTTTTTGAGAAAAGCATTTTCTTAAGTACAGAGACTTCTCCATGAATGCAATTAGATATTTTTACGATCATATGACCGAAATCGCGACCCATTCACAGTTTCAGTAATTTATTTATTCATATCAAAAGACGGGCGTTTTAATAGTTATCAATAGCACTTTTGCTGACTATGGGCTTCACGGAGAGGAGAAGGAACATCAAAGTGAGAAAAAATCGAGAGGGGTTGGGGACAGGAGAATGATTCACCGATATAAAAGTAAGGTGAGTACTGTGAAAGTGGTGGAATATGACATACAGTCGGGTGATGGTAGTTTGAAATCAAATGCCGATTTATAAACACTTTTGACGTATGAGTATAAGTTGTCCAGTAGTATTAGTTTACATTTGTTTAATCATCAGAGAAATAAATTACTTGACATGAGATACATTTTTATGGAGTCGATTTGTGTCTCTTTTGAGATCAGGCTAATGAACTGTTAGCTAATCACCACTCTAAGACTTTGCAAATTGAAAACCAAAAGTAGAGTATTTCCAAATTGAGCAACTTTTACTTAAATAGATGAAGATTATTTGCTGAAGTCAAGGAGCATTCTTAAATTACTATCCAATCGCCTTTAAATATTTTGTTCTCACAGATCTTAGGACCTTTTTCTCTTAAAAGGAAAGTATCTGTCTATCAAACCTAAAGTCGGATGTTATTTCCCAAATGTTTTTGTTTGTACCCCAAAAACTACGAAGTTAATAACATTTTTTGTATCAATGCATATAAACACCAAATAGTCCGTTTTGACGGGGAGAATATATAAAGCATATTTTAGCTTTCTTTGCCAAATACACTTGTAGAAAACTTTCATACTTAGTTAAAGTTGATAGCCAATACCTAGTGAATCTCAAATTTGGCTTTTGGTGACCACCGATTTTTAATGAGAGCCACTCCAACTGAGTCATTATATGCTTGTACACTTGGTTGTTAACTTGCAGCAAAAAATGAAAGAGGAGGAAGCTGAGGATGACTCAAGTGATCTTAATAATCAACTCGATTTAGAAGTGAACAGCGTTACATCAGGGCTTTCAGAAGTTTTGACGGGAGGTATTAAAAGCAGAACTGCAAGACAACTAGCTATTTTAAAAAAAGTGAATATATCCGATAGTTTGGATTATGCTTCATCTGCCAATAATGGTATGCAACATAAATTCATCGAGTTTTTCACCCTGAAGACTCGTACACCAAATTCTGATTCAGGCGGAATTAGAAAGATTGAATTCCCATTCAAACCGGGAATGTTTCAATTTCATGCTCAGCGAGGACAATTGAATCCTGGTTGTCTAAGATTATGCAAATGCTTATCAAGGTGCATTGGATGCCGACAATTGCCTAGGAAGTATCCATGGAATAGAAATAGACGGCCAAAATGTAAGTCTCACAATCGTTTCAATAATCGATATATCAACAATATCTGTGTAGTCCGTCAATCGTCAGAACTAAATGAAAATATACACCAACAAAATCCCGACACTATTGCATTCCAGATGGAAAAAAGCCTAAATCTTTCAAGTTCAAGAAAAATCGAACAATCATCATTTGATATTACAGATCAAACACTTTCGTCACCAACTGGCGTAGATTCCCTTGCACTATTGGAAAAATTGGGTTTACCTCATAACATAGAAAATATTGAAAACGATTTTAAAAGGATGAATATTGATTAAACGAATTAAAATGCCTTTGTTATTCTCAAAGCCTTTATGCCATGAGTACTAATTTCAAATCGAGAGGAATGAGATTGAAGAGAAATCCACTTAAACACGCTCTATTATGTAAAGTGGTTAATTTCAAATAAATACAAACCATCTATTTCCGTGTGAAATTTTATGACAATATCAGTTTAATGCAGCTTTTACTATTTTTTATTAATTAAGAAAATTTAATCAGTCAAGTTTCTAATTCGAGTTCAGGAGGTGTCAAGAATTTATGCATTCATGAACTTTCAATTTTGCGTATTTCACTTATACTTTAATTACGGATTTTACCTTACATTTAACTTATATATTAGTCAATTTGCATAAGTACAAACTAAATCGAGTTCGGCTTTGAACTTTCAAATTCCGAAAATTGGTATTTTTCCCAAAGGCATTCAGATTCAAGAAACTGGTTTAACGCTGCTTTTAACTGTGAATTTGTTCCACACAGAATGGAACGCATTTATATCATGTGAGAAGATCAATTCAAGGCACATCAGATGTCAGAATTTTAATTAAAAACGTCGAGTGTAACTTATCGAAGGACATGCAGGAATTGATTATTTATCACACCCGAAGTTTATTGCTCTCCAATCATTTTTCTGTCCGAATGCAGTAAAATTAACTCCAATATACAGTTTAAATGTGTAACTCTAATCATCTTGGAAATTGTTTTCTCTAATGAAAGGAGATATTTATTTTGTTCACCTTCTTTGACACGAATCTCTTATAATTTGTAAAATTAGCGTGTGGGTTCAAACAAAAATTGGGGCGGGAAGATTTTCATCTAACTCGGTTACTTTTACTGAATTCAAGTCCTAAGACTCTTTACCTAGTAATTGCTTCCCATATTAACTTAATGGTACTTACTAAGAAAAACTATCAACTTTGGTCTCTATTTTATAGGTACGTTTAACCCAGTTTGGTGCTTAGAGTTTAGAAATTTTTCAGATGCTTTTAAGTTAACAAAATATTAACAAAGATGAAAATCTTATTTAGCATCAAATGACAGTAAAATTATTTTGTCCGTTTTGTTCTTTAAATTGTTCGGTATTAATTAGGCACACTATTGATGTATGCAAAATGACGTTAAGCCAATGAATTGTTATCTTTCCTAAGTAAATTTTGCTCAAACAATGAACATATATATTCTAACATCTGTGCTTGTCTTAAGGCCTTATCTGGGTTGGTAATAGAAGTTTCAGAAACTAATTTGAAGCCATCTTATATTGATGAGCATATTGTTTGTCAACAGTCTACTTAAATGACTCCTGATGTCCAAAAGTCTCCGAAAATGCATCCATTAATGTCGATCAAATGAATGATGAATCGGTATCAAATACTATAATAAATAAGAATTGCTTCCATGGCGATTAGTTTCAATACAGAATTTGAAATTACCTTGTTCTACGTATTCAATTGACCTTAGTTACTGTTTTACAGCTATGTAAACTTTACATTTATTGGAGCCGCTGAATATGAAGTCATTTAAATCCAATATCTCCGACACGCCATATTCAAATATATTTAGTTGACTGTTTGACTAATTATTTAAGTGAGCAATGGTTCACACGATACTTGATTTAGGGCTTTCTTTGTAATTACTATTGCTATATGCTAAAAAAATATTTTGACTTTTTTTACATTCGAAAACAAAGAAAATAATGAAATCAATTAAGAATAGTATATTGTACTGAATATATTTATGAATAAAATTTCTGTTTAAATTGCAATTACTTAGTTGTTTGGCCACATCAGTTTTGTAACGAGTGGTAGTCATTTCGATTTTGAAGGTCATATCTTTAATTCTACTCACAGGGAGAATTCGAAATAGTACGTCATAAGAAATGTCGAACACTATTTATGGAAATGATATTTTTCAGAAATTTAATCAATTAAAGCTGGGTGAGAAAGATTCTACCACTATTACCATCTTGTGTAATATAATATAAGTAATCTCTTCTTTTAATCTTACAGATGAAGCAATTACAAAGGACCTTCCATTTGCTACTGAGTCGAAAACCTTTTGTGCAGCGAATAGCTCTCATATAAGAAATTGTTCAGAGCCTGAAGCCAAAACGGTGACTTGTGGGGAACCTTTTACAAATCTTAAAGCAGCAATAATTTCTCTATGCAATTCTTCAGTCACAACTACTCAAGAACCTGGAGAAGATGAGGAATGCAATGAAATTTTTCGTGCGCTAAATTTTTCCATGCTGCAATCAAATGCAGGGGATAGAACACTGACTAGGAACTCGGGTGCTGGCCTTTATAGATTGCAGAGAATTATGAAAAGCCAAATCTCGCAAGTTTCAAAAATTAAAATATTGCTGGTTTTGTTGATTGATGTGTATCGCAGGCTTTATCAGTCTGAGAATAACAGGAAAATCCACCACACATAATTGGCAAAAAACTTCAATGTGTATATTGTCTAATTTAAAAACTGGAACATTTTTATTAATAAATTGCTCTTCTTAATTGCTGCTTTTTTATTATATAATGATTGGTTGGAGTTTGGGATAGGTTGAGTTCTTTATCTTGCTTATTGAGGTTTGTAGATGTGGTGTTTCTGCCAGGTAAATTTAAGATCTAAGGATGAAATTTCAAAAAATCATTTTTTTCGAATGTAATGGTTTCGTTCTATGCAGATTGAAAGTACCACAAATTTTAACTACATTCTCACAATGTTAGTAATTGGCAACGATTTGGATAGTTGAAATACGATGAATTTTAGTCATCTTTGGCGCCTTTATTATTCTTCCTACTAAATAAAGATGGTCTTGATACCCCAAATATTTCGTTTAAAATTTATTGAATGCGCCTTTCTTTATGTTACCAGTGCATATACTAATGGCACATCTTAAGCGTTCCAATTTTTCTTGGTTCAATTTTATTGGTTGGTTAAGTTCGATATTTGGACATACCATGTCAATAGATTAGTTCTCATCCACCTGTCTAAAATGTGGGAATAATACAGAAATTAAAATTGATTTAATATAGTGAATATAGCTTTTTATGTAAAGTTTGACTTTGCATTATCTTGTCAGGATAATAATTCCGCTAAAATTTTTACACTTCGAATCAAATATCTCTTTCGGAATTTGTTCTGTTTCCGTTAGAACTCGATACTTAAAGTGAACGTTGTCTTTGGTGATTTTAGACCAAGATCGAGAATGTCCAACTGAGAGATCAAACACAGGAATTGATCTGTTGTTGTTCTTGAAAATTCACTCAATTATGCTCTGGACCATCTTAGTAGTTGGAAATGATAGAAATGGCGGCTAAGGTTTTTGAATGGTATTGTTTGAATTCATCGTATACCTCCTGTTTAACGTTGGAACGGTATGTAATTCAAGTACATCCATTTTTAAGTTGATAATTTAAATTTCCCACATTCTTAGAACTTTTTTTGAAAAGAAGAGATTGACCAATTACGCCTTTTACTCAACTTAAACATGTGAGCAAGAAATTGCCTTATTTTTGGTGACTTTCAGGAGTACAATTTATTGTAGGGCTCAGATGTCTAAATGCATGGTTGGTTGACGACTTTTAAAATATTCGCGAAATCATAAATCCATGAAAATGAGTTTGAACATTCTGAACATGAGAATTATTGAGCACTCTGTAAATAAGCATGCGTTTTAGACAAGTTTGCCTTACCAGATTGGGACATTGTGCTTTCAAATTGATGGGCCATTGACAATATTACATATTAGAAATAAAGCACTTTCGAGTTCATTGTTTTTGCGTTATAAAGACAATTCCTTATAGTAAATAGGAAGATAACTTTTAATAAGCATTGGGTAAAAATTATTCCCAATGTGTTAATTAAAAATATATCCACACTCGAGTTCTTGCGAATGGTACGTAAATTCTTCGCATTTAACACCCCCCCCAACCCTCCCCTCCACGAGCACAGATCTTCACCTCCACTTGTTCCATGAAGCCTTAGTTTGTTTGATTCGGAAGCTCGACTTTAAGGCCTGCCTCCCGAATACGTCAAATGCTCTCAAAACTGTAAACATTTTCGTTTTAACAGTTATTTATATCAAATGACAGGCCTTTTGTTGACTTCGGGTTTCACAGAGGGGAGGAACGGACAATGTCACAAAATGTCGAGGGGTGGGGGGAACGGAAGAGTGTTTCGCATATGCAAAAGAGACAGGCATAAAGTTGGAGAACAAAGTAAGGTGAGTACCATGAAACTGGTCGAATATGACATACAGTGGGGCCAAGGAAGTTTTAAGTCAGAGGTCAACTGCCGATTTATGGGTTTTTTGCCGTATAAAGATACGTTACTCAGGGTGCGCCATGTGGAGATAAGTCTATCATACACTCCGCGTTTTAAAATAACTTTATGAAATTGGACAAACGAAAACGACTTTCCTTTGAAGTGGAAACGGCTTCATTTTGCATATTTGAGTAGAATATACGGACTGATCTTTTTTGGAAAGTTCTCTTCCCTTTAAAGTAAATATGAATAAAATGCAGATGCTAAAATTCTCATTTTTTTCAATTAACATCAAACGTTACTTGGTATCCTGAATAATTTTTTTAAGAAAAAGCTGCCCGATAATGAGATTTGGGTTCAAAAGAAATCTCGATGTTGCACTGGGCTTGCAAATAGTCGGTTTTTGGATAAATTTAATATCCTTTTAATGTGAAATATTAAAACAATGTTCACTTATTAAATAATCAATTGTCTCCTCCTCCTCCTCCCCCCCCCCCCCCCCCCCCCCCCACCCTCTTCTATGATTTCAGGTCAACTTTTTACATGGCATAATTTAAATCGCCGCTTTATTGTCGTTTCAACTAAAATGGCCACAATAACTAAGGCTTCTTCGCGTTATGGTGAAATATTTTGACAATTATCAAGCAAGCCTTACACTGACTGACTCCTTCACATTTATGCTGTAGAATAACAGCAATTATTGAAGATGTCCTTAACATTTTATTTGATTTTGTTTGAAATAAGAAAAAATGAGTGTTGTAGAACATGTTAGATTGAAGACTATCCTTCATGTTGACCATAATTTGTTTCTAAGCTTAAAGTAGACTTTTCAATTATGATAGAACTTCCGAGGGTACAATTTCCAAATTTGACGATGCAGTTGTAATTTTTAGGTTATTTGTACTTTACATTGACTTAAAGTTAAATTTCATAAAATGAGTCATAAAAATGGTGTATTTGATAGGTTTCCTCTTAGAGTGTGATTAAATATCAAATAAGTTGTGATCATTCGAGTGTGAGATGAACAACTTCTCCATTTACTCTTTTAAATTCTGACGTTTTAGAACCGAGAATGGATTCGCGAAGAGGTGCTTGTAAAAAACACGACCGACCAGCCATTCAGTACAATCCCGATACAACTGGTCTAGACTCAAGGGGTCGCAAATTAAGATGGAGCGGTGACATTTCGAAAATACAAGTTAACCTAAATAAAATCTTCGTTAAAAATGCAATTTCTATTGCTCCCACTCTCAATATTTATCAGGCTTCCTCCATATCTCTAGATTGCTCATCAAGAGATGACCGAACTGATGAGTCCTTTGAGGATACTTTTGCTAAATTGCAGATCTCTAAAGAACATCGACGCAAACGACAAAAGCGTGTGCATAAGGTGAAGACTTCTTCTAATTGCCACTGGAAACCGACTTCAAGTGTCCAGGGAGAGGATGCAGACGATGGTGAAACGGAGAGTGAGCAGAGCACTCTAATGCCATCCACTTCGAAATTGGAAGGTCATTGCAAAAAGAACGACTTTGATGAGGATGATTTTGATAGGAGAATTATGTTTGTATGATTTTATTGCAAATAAATATGCAATAAACGTTAGCTTTGGTCACTTTCCAAAGAGCTTTTTTGTCGTATTAAATTTCAAAATTTCGGTCAATTAATGATATTTTTTGGTGCTGTTGTTCATACATTTAAAAAACGGAATCATTTAAAAATAAATACGTTTTACATTCTAGGTATTATAGCGTACAGTAATTTGCTTAGTATGTGCTATATTTTTTCATGCAAACTTGTATACATCAGACAGTGGAGATCACATTAGCAGGCCTTTTGATGATTATTTGGAAGTTGCTTGAACTTTGATTTCATGAAGTATCATCTTCCAGTCGTCCAACAGGATATCTAAGTTGGATTTTCACAAAAGTTTCTTTGTGATAACTTTGTAACTGAACTTGTCTCATTACAGCCATTCATTTTCACCTTTGATCAACCCTATCGCTTTCTAGAAACTTTAAATTTGACTCCTATTGACCCTATGGAAAAGCCCTGTGCACTTTCGCACTTCTTAGCAGATGCACATCAAGTGAACCCAGGTACTTTTTACTTCCAAATCTATTGGAGACCTTAAACAGACTTTTTGATGAAGTAAACCTTTTTGGCAATGCGAAGTTTAACTACATTTTAGTTTAATTGTCTATTGCATCAGTATCAATCTTTGCATTATTCTTTATCCATCGTTCAAATTATAGGAAAAACAAACAAGATTTGTTTCTCTTGCACTTCATTAGGGTGCATTTGTTTATATTTACAACTGCCATTGGAGCTTTAAATTAAAACAACAAGAAATACATCTGCCACTTCGATAAAACAGAAACTAAGAGCGAAGATTGTTAATTTGATTTTGTGTACAATATACGTAAAAGCGACTTATTTCACTTTTTAATCTTCTTGAACCCCCTAAGTTTCTTTTAAACTGTACAATATTCATCTTTTATAATTTTTTTGTAAATTTTGAATTGATAGTCAAGTGTTAAGTAAATAAAACATTTAATAAAACAAAGTGTCCTATTCACTCATTTTTTGCTAGTCGCTTGAAGTGTCTGAGATTTATTTATTTTCAAAGTGACTTACAAAAAAACAACCATTCATTAAAACGCAAAAATGTTGCAGAAATTGCTCCACATTGCAGTAATAAATTTCAATGGCTGTCTAATGACATTTGTCCAATTATGTGGTCACCTCAAACAACTTTTTGACTTCTTTAGGTTGATCTTTTAAGCCGATTTGAGATCGTTCAAACGTTTAAGATAGAAAGACTTAGAAAAGCACTGACCACGCAAGTTTAGCCAAAATTTGAACGCAGATTACAAATATTATAAGGCGAAAACGAAAGTGATTTAGAGAAAAACGTAGGAAAAAATCGCACTGATGCTCATTGGTAGTTCCCATAGGTGGATAGAGCGCGAATTAACGTTGAGTTTATGCTAGTGCTTACTCTATTGTTAAAAGTCAAGTAAACTTGATTGCCCTGACCAGGAACTTCAATAGTCAAGCTTGCTTTAAAACGAAATTGCAATTGATTTTCGCATAGCTGATATCAGATACACAGTTTGAAAATCAATAAGGAGACACTTCATTCGGTCTAAAATCATTCTAAAGCATTTAACGATAGACTACTTCATCCCGCGAAACAGATATAAGTGAGGCTGCAAATTTTCGCACCTCCCTCAAACGTGGCCAACCAATCTGCGGGCGGTCGGCCAGAAGAAGCAGATTCTGCAATTTCATTGGTCTACAAGTTATCCAATTTAAGTTCGCTACGACCGCTAAAGTTCTTCCGTGTGTTTTAATTGGTTCTCATAATAATGATCAACATAGCTTTAATTCATCACATCTACAAGATACTTGATAACAGAATTAATCAGCCCAAAATGAAATATTTAATTTTTGAAGTTTAGTTTCAGGCGTCGTTTTCACATGGAGTTAAAATTGTCTCCATAAATCAACCGCGCAAAAAATAACATCAAAGGTTAATGACTAGTTATTTGTCATCATCACTTGATATTCTTTCACAACACAGTTGAGTTACCCTTAACTTATTATACTGGAGCAAGTTGATCAAATTAGACCACTTAACATTCACAATTTCAAGTTTTATATTAGTCACCACATTTAGCCGTTAATTAAACGTGACAAATATTCCACTGTAAAATGTCAGTAGACCCCACAAATATTACATATTAGAAAGAATATGTGCATCAAAGCAGTAATAAAATAAACTAATTGAAAAGGAAAAGTAAAGCTCAGGTTTCCGGATGCTGGTATTTACATTCTCCAAATACTTCTGTCTCTAAGTTCGCTATGATGCACCGAATTCGAACTTGCTCCGTCAACATCATTTCTACGTTACGCACCCTCTAAGGCATGTGCATTCTTGCACTTCCAGCAATTACCTCGAATCTGATACATGGGTAGAAGTTGGAGGCCTTCTCAATGGTGGCAGTTTGAAATTTCTTTATCTTATCCTTTTCAAATAGAGTTTCTTATCTTTTGACTAAATAACAGCTTGGACGCCAAATGTCTGCATGAAATTATCTGTGTAAAAATAATAATTACTCAGTTTAATGTGGATGTATGAATGTACTCGTAGTCTTTTCACGCCGATAATGTTTGACATCCCGGTAGCCACCTTTAATTGTGACATCAATTACCAATAAATTTAATCGGACCTCTATTCACTTCCTGAATTGAAAAATAAATGAGTGAGGAGAAGCTCTGATAGTATTTATCAACTGATTGATATGAAATTTAAACATTTGCTTACATCTCGTTTTAATCATGCCTCTCATTCGTAGCAGTGTCCAGGGTTCAAACACTCAGTATTTATTATAAATACTCTACTTAATAACACAAATATAAGTAAGGAGTGGTGATGTGGACATCCACGGAAGTAGGCGCACTCGGAGTGCGGTCAATATGGTCCCACACATGGATCCAGGAGATCAATTCAAAATGTGAATCAACTGTTTATAGGAATATGGGAAATCAATTTTGGCATTACTTAAACCTCATCATTTGACATCTTACAAGTTGCGTTATTTAAAACTCGAACCACAGTGTGCAGCATTTATTAAAACAGGTTAAACTCGATAATCTGTTTGCAGTTTGATCACTCACTTTCATTATTTTGAAATCATACGTAAATTTAATTTATTATTATAATTTCAGCTTGTATAATTCGACTATGGAAGGAGTCCTTGAAAACGTATTAGCAAACATCCAAACAAACAGATATGCAGGTAATGCTAATGAACCGAATTGAGAATAGCATAGATTTCATAATCGGAACATGAGAAAACGATTCCAGGAACTAAATCAGTCTATGCAAATAGCAGTAAAACTTTTATGATTCCCAACTTTGTCACAAATACCACAGCTGATCTTCCATTTTGGAGCTAATTACAATGTCGCACTCTCCAAATCATTATAGGTGTTGTGGCGAATAATTACATTTACAATCGTTTGACATATATTAAATATAGCTTTTTTGCCAGATTTCTTAAGAAGAAATATTTTGCTAAAGAATTGCAGTGTGTCATACAAGTTGTCTTAGATCCTTTCAAATTGTGTTCACACATTCTATTGGTTTACAGGCACACCAATCATATAAGGAAGTACGAGGAAGTACAATAATTGGTCTTTGCAGTGGCATAAATGCATTCGTTAGAGGTTTAAGTTCGCATTGCGTATTTTCCTTCATTTGAGACCTACTCGTTCGACCACTTATGGATTCTTCTTATACACATTCGGAACGTTACAACAATTTCCATGGTAATATCCCAACCAATGATCTTAAACCAACTGTTGCCAACTCTCTCCACATTACACACCATTCAATTCTACACATCGAAGGAATCATGACGGTTTATTTAATTGGAGCGAACACGCCTCTTAAAGTGACGTTAGGTGATAGTTTCATGTCGGAGGTGGTGGCTCAATCACTTACAATATCCCAATATGACCGGTTGCTGAATGAGAAGCAAAGTTCGCATTCTCAATCAACTTCTTGCACTTCCATGAATGAGCTTCCTTTGGATCTCTCAATGAAAGCATCTGCTCTTCAGTCCCAAAAAGAAACTCCGGTGAAGACCGGCAGTGAAACGACAGTGAAACCGGACATTGATCTTGTTTTTGAGTTTACAAATTGAGCATCAATCAATTAACACTTGTGTTTTTTTCCTATGGGATAAAGTGTACATCGTAATAATTGTGCTATTAAAGACTCATTTTGGTATTTTCATGTTCCTATTCAATTCAACGGTGGTAGGGTCTGTGGGTGAGAGAGGGGGAGGAATTTCAGATAAGGGGAATTGTCTTATTGCAAAAACGCAAAAGAGGTGACTTGCCCGACTTGAGAAGAGTTGAGTTGGCAATGGGGTGTTGTCACTAGAAATGCCAAAGTGTCCACTCAAGTAGGCAGGTATTTGGTGGTATTTTCGAAATATTTTTGATTAAAAAGCAGGGACGTGAAAAATAGGCTACGAAGTGGGGATTTATGAATAACTGCAAACATTTCCATGTCAAGATTGGTAATGATCGAGGGTGAGAAATTATGGGCTCAATTAAAATAAGTTTGATGATGTGGATATGGTAATCATAAAAGGGTAAAGTGCATTAATAAGTCTTGAAATTATAGTTGCTGGTCACCTTAAGCTGATGAAGAGAATATTGAAGAGCACATTTCTAATAATTTGCAATAGCTTCGTTGCAGTGGAATTCTCTCCCACAGGGGATAAATTGTGTGGAAGTGAACGTAGTTCTCAAAGTGCTCTAACTTGGAGGACCCTCCTGAGATACACAGATTCTCCTAGATAGTCAATTTGGAGAGACATTACTCCTCTACCAACAGATTTAATTTTTGTATCAAAAGGTATCACACAACCGAGTGGTAGTTAGCGTCTTACGAAGAACTAACCTCTTCCAATCATTTCCTCTCTTCCCATTATGAGCACTTCTTCCAAGAAAGTGAATCACCCACCACGATCATTGTCTGTCCTATTGCTACAATTGAAGTTAGATCGAAGTCTCAGTACTTCAATGATTGAATTTTATTCAACATTACCTATCTTTGATTGTTAATGATTCCATTTTTATTCATTCATTATAAAAATATATTGGAAGCTTTTTAAAATGCAGTTATTTATATATTATAGCAGCAAATCACACTGCAATAGGGAATGTAGTTTATAGGGTGAAAAAAAATCGTCTGAATTTCTAATAAGTTTAAAGAACAAACAAAGTAATAATGTAATAAAAATCCATATAAGAGGTTTTGAAATAAACTGACCTTTTAAGTGCAAAATTGATTAAGGATCATTAATTCTATTGCAAGTAATAATAATCTAGATTATATTTTAGAATATCTTAGAGACAATATTTGAACTAATCGTTATTAAAAATCAGGTACTAGTTGAATAAATGTTAGTATTTTTTAAATAAATTGACGTTATGAGTGAAAAATTAATTAGGGCTCATTAACTGAAACGCAAAATAGCATAGAAACGTTAGATAAGCGCCTTAATCTGACACCGAAATGCTCGAAGACGTAAATCGAGATGAGAGGAGAGGAGAGAAGACGAGAGGAGAGGTGAGGAGATACTTCGGTAATCTCTTTCTTACCTCAAATTAAACCCTCGAACTCCTCAATCTCAGTTCTTCATGCCAATCCATTTCATCAATCAATTTAAGATTACTTTCAGTGCCAAATAGCACTCCCTCCTAATCGAATGCATTGGCCATGCTTGATCTTATGCAGAGGAAGAGCTTTCAATGTCACTTTACTCAGTCAAGTAATAATTGCGTAAGGAAAGGAGAAGAAAGTTGAAGTAGATAATTGCTCAGACACACCGCCAGTGATCTCTTTACTCGTTTTCTTATATATCCATAAGCTTGTAGCAAAAAGTCCTCTTCATGCGATGGCCTTCCCCGTTGACTTCCTGGAATCAGAAATGAGGGCAATTTCTGATGGAGGGCACTCAATTTACACTATTTGGTCTAATTAGAGAAGTGAGTAACAAAGAATTAGATCAACTTGCCCTTTAAGAGATCTTTGCAAGGGCTACCAAAACATTACACGGGTGTGCAAATTTATCCACATTCTGACCGAGTATTTACATTTTAAGCCTAGCGTTGATCAATTCAGAGGGCCGAATGCAGACTTTAACATTGTCTGATTTAACCAATACATGCGAGATTTAAGAGGTTTATTTAATGACAAACGACCCACCACAGGCATTGTTGTTCTTCTCTTCCTAGCTAATGATAATTGCCGTTCATGGAGGTTTGAATAGACATAAGAGTTTGAGGCAACGCAATTCCAACGATTCGGAAAACCTAGCCTTCAATTTCTTGCCTTTCAAAGTAACCTCCTCTGAATGCATTTGACAATTTATCGAGGTAAATTCTTTAGTCAACAGTTATTCTGGACTGAGGAGGCCTTCTGAACAGTTGCTTTGTTCTAACACTAGTAAACAAATGCTATTTTCGTTAATCTACATCTGCCATTAAAATATGTTAATTGAATCAATATGGAAATTTTGTCATTATTGTGAAATCAACAACCCATGATTTGCTTTTGTTCACATATTTCGCACTGTTATCGGCGAAAAGTATGTATTGAAAATATGGACTAACTTTGAATAACACTCATCAAAATATGTATATCTACAAGCAAAAGGTAACATTTTCTCCAAAATTATGATTGGTGAACCTCAAGTGTTCCATGTACACGAAAGTACAAATTCCTGGTATTCAATTGCACTTTCCACTTCAGGGTGTTTTTCATTGTACTTTGGCCAAGTGATGGACTCAGATTTCCGACTTCTCTTCTCTGCACCATTTAAACCTGCTTACACGAATATGCCAACAGTAAGTTGGTCTCACACTTACATCGAAAGGAATAAGTTGAAGTGTTTGGGGGGAGGTTTGGGGGGGGGGGATTAATCAGACCAGAAGTCAAACACTCACGATATTCGTGTCTATGTGTTCAAATCCTGGGTGAACAAATTGTCTCTATCAAAAGTCACCGCAGAAAAAATCGTTTTTTTGCCTATTCAACTACTTGTAAATATTTATCGAATTACCCTCCCCCCCCCCTCCCACCTTAAACTTAGAAAAATTCATATTGTGTGTGCGAGGGTGTGTCTGATTCGAATAAGGAATCGATTTTTTTGACTTTGCATGTACTGGAACTCTCAAATATGCACATGCATTAATGTGCGTCCAATGTCCATTTGTCCAGAGTCCCTGTTCCCAGTCGAGAAAATTATACCACCACTTCATTCAAAGTGATCAAGCTAGTCCATTTGGGTGAGACCACACTCCCTACTCGGCAATACGCATACAACTAAAACTAAGTTGTTTAAGGTACTCCTTGCCTCTCCCCTTCCTTTCCACAATCATTTCCCAAATTCACATCTTTTTTGCAGAAACTGTTCATAGAAGAAAACAACATAATTTAAAGAGATATTTACTTCTAATTAATGTCCCCAAAATATATATGCACACTTGAAATATTTGTAAACATAATATTTATTATAATTTCCTTATTATAAATATACAATATTATTAACTAGAATCATTTTCCTATTTTTTTATTACATTTTCCTTGCTGAGGTCTTGCCAAAAAAGTGGATTTTGACGAAGAGGTTTTGTTGAATATCCTAAATCTTCACTAGACCACACACCACTACAATTTTTTCACATAGGGATGCTTAAAAGACAAAGTCTACGCAATCAAACCTCCAACAGTCACTGAATTAAGAGAAGCCATTGAGCACGAATGCGTCAAAATCACATGGGAAGTATTTCATCATGAGTACGATTCCATTGCTTGGCATTGTCAGCAGTGTCAGCACCAAAATAAAATTATACTAGTCAAAGAATTTTAAGATTTTGCAATAATAATAAAATTCCAATTGAACGCCACGTTTACAATTAGTCGCAATGTGTTTACGTTTTGGAACACCCTTTTTAATGCCGCCATTGCACAACAATGGTCGCATTCATTTCGACACCTTCTATACCGCCACCACATACATCTGGTTGTCATTAGAAGAAAATTCACCTCCTCTTTCTCTTGCTCTCCTGTTTCTACTTTTGCTGATGCTACTTAGTTCTCGAGTTTAAGGGGGTATTCTTGTCTAGAAATAAATAAAATCGAATTTTTTCATATTTTCATAGTTTAACTATTTTAAAATATGTCTACGAGAGGATTTCCAAAATTCAAATTATTTTCAGAGAAATAGGTATTTTGCTGATCAGGCATCCAAACCGGTTTGGCTGCAACTAATCGAACAAAAGACATAATGGGGTCTCTGACTACCTGAATCTACATTTCTTAGTAATCCCTTTTGTTCCGTTATATATATATATATATATATATATATATATGTAAAACGAAGAGGATAAAACAGGGGTTGGTGGAAAAGGTGGAGGCAAATTAACTGATAAAGTCAGCAATAAATTGTCTTAATACTATGGCTTAGCGATTCGCCGGCATCCTGATTCTGTTGAGAACATGAGAAATGCAATTTGGGCAACATTCTACCATAATAGTTCTACAAATAAAAACCCACAACACCTGGTGCAAAGAGTTGGTGTAAGTGGCAAAAAACTGCATCTGAAGGAACATTAGACGAGTTTGACCCCGAAAATCCTCCTCTGTGTGATAAAGTTTTGGAAATTATAAAGCCAATTTACGAGAGTTTATCATCAGAAGAGTTATTGACGCGATGCTTGGGTTTAGAAACTCAAAATAATAAGTCTCTAAACTCGCTGATATGGAATTTCGCTCCAAAGCATATCCATTCCGGGTCTCAGATTATTGAAATTACAGCATTTATTGCTGTGTGTAATTTTAATGAAGACTTTTTACCGATATTGAAGACGATGACGATTATGGGAGTGAAAATTGGTTCAGAAGCGCATACATTTGCTATCAGACGAGACAACACCCGGATTGACCGCTCCTAGATACGAGCATCCAGCGCATCAAAAGAGGCCAAAACTGCTCGAATAAAAACAGAAACGCCGAAAATAGTTTTTTAAAGTCGAGGAAGGTCCGATGTGTGCAGCAGGAATGGCAGATTGAATAAATGTAAGTTAAAAATATAATTTTATGACTTAGACTGCAAAAATATTTTTCTTG